AAGCTTATAGAATTCATAGATAAGACTGTCAGAGCTAGGTAACTTATTATTCAGTAGGCTTCTAATCATATTTCTTATTTCTTCAAGTGAGATTTTTTGTATTAGTGAAGAGTTTTGTATCTTTGTAACTTATAGAGCTTCTTTAATGATTTCATTTATGGTAGCTAAATTAATCTCTTCTTTCCTGTAGATTTTTGAATATTCTTCTCTTATATAAGAAAGAGTATTATCCTTGTTCTGAGCTGAATTCAAAGGATCCTTAACTTCCCTAAGAGCTGAGTGAGATTTCCTAGATTTATATTTTGAAAAGAAGTATTTAATTGATTTTTCTCCTTGCTCTATCCATTTTGTCTTAGAGTGGAGTTGTCATTTTTCTGCTAGAAGAGTAAGTTCTTCTTGCAGTTTGGAGTTAAGGTTGTCTGCTTAAGTAAAAAGGTATATATTTATAGAGTTTTCAGCAAGTTTTTTGTTTATCTGAGTAATTTGTTTGTTAAGTGTCGATATTTTGCTTTTTGGAGGTTTTGGTTTTTTGAAAGCCTTAATAATCGATTAGATGTATATTTTGCATAAGTCCCAATTATTCGTATTTTCATTTTCTTGTATTTCTTCTATTATTTCTTTTTTTAGTCTCTCATTATGAAAGCAGTTTTTATCAAACTTCCACAAAGGTGACTTGTTTGTATTTAATGTAAACTTTAGCGTGCATTCTACTAGAAAGTGATCAGAGTTGCCATATTTGGTATTAGTTTCATGAATCGAGTGAGCATAGTTTTCATCTATAAAGATATAGTCTAAGTGAGTTGCCATCATTCTATTTCCTCTTGTTTTTAAAAAAAAAGTATGGAATGGTTTGTTGATTGTAAGCTCTGAAGAGTCAATAAAGTTTTTTGTGAGGTTTTTAAGTTGAGCTCTTGTTGGATCATTCTGTAGTAAGGACTTACTAATTCTATCTCATTCAGGATATATATTAGTATTAAAGTCTCCTGCGATGATATTTATCATATTGTCTTTTACTTGAGGAGACTAGTTGTTAAAGAAAATTGATCATTCACATTGACTAGGAGGTGCATAGACGTTTGTGAGCTGGAAGGTTAAGTCTTTATAGCTAAAATTTGTAGTTATAATTCTGCTATTTGCTTCTATTTTTGAACTCTGAAAAGTTATATTTTTGTTACCTGCTAATATAGTTGTTTTGTTTGACTATAATGAATCGAAAGCCCATTGTTGTTGTAAAAATGTTTGTGTATCTTTGTTGTTAAGGTTCATCTCTTGAAGCAATATAATATCAAGATTATAAGACTTAAAAAGAGTAAAAGTATTTCTTTGTTTCTGTTGATTGTTTAGTCCTTTGACATTTAGAGTGCCAATTTTTATCTTTGATTTTTTAAGCATAAGAGTTGAGTTAAGGTAAGAATTTTAGATCTGCATATTTTGGCTCTTATTATGAGTTTTTTTCTTGTAAGGAGCAGTTCTGGTCTCTTCTTGATTTTGCGCAGATACTTTCTTTTTGTCTTTTTTTCTTTTGTTTGTAGCAATTATGTATTCTCCTTCTGAATGGTCAAGTTCTTGCAGTTCATGATTATTATTATCAGTAATAACTATAGGAGAATTTACCTCTTGTGCTATTTTCTTGTTAGAAGTGGTAGCATTTGTCAAGCTAATTTCCTGAGTTTTTGAGTCTTTCTCTATATTTGTATCTTCTGTAGTTATAGTTATACCCTCTGTTCTTTTGGATACGCTAGCTTGAGTATTGTTATTTTCACTAGTTCTGGATATATCCTGTTGCTTTTCAGTAGAAGAGTTTTCAAGATGTTCGTCTATACACATTTCTTAGATTAAAGAAGAAGGAGTTGATGTAGTTTTTCCATCTAATATGTTTGAGTTCAAGATTTTTTTCTTTATTCTTATTTCTTTGGTACTCTTTAAAATGATAACAAAGTGCTAAGGCTTCTTGATGTTGTTCGCAATCTTTCTTGACATGACCTTCTTTGTCACAAAAAAAACAAACCTTTGGAGCTGACTTCCATTCTGTAGTAATTTTGTTTTCTAGTAGAATATAAAGGCGAGGAATTCTTTTTTCCAAGTCTGGGTCATTTGTAGTATCAAAAATAATAATCCATTAGTTAGTTAAGTAGGGGGTTCCTTCAATTAAGAGTGGTTTGATCGATGCAATTTTCCCTACATCTTTGAAGGCTTCTTTAATAGCTTCAGAGACTAGGTTTTTATCTTGTAAAGGAACGTTTCTGATTTTGACTAGAAGAAAAGATCTTCTATTATCTGTAGAAATAGAGCTAAGATATGTTTTGTTAAAGATATCTACTCCTTTAACTGCATACTCTTGTAATTTTTCTTTGTTAGCAAAGATAATTTCTAAGTAAGTACAGACTCCTCTGTTGATATGTGGTTTTGCTGCTACTATGTTATTTCCTACATTATCATAGAGGGAAACCATGATATCATTTAAAGAACAGTTTTTTAAACTGTTAATATCTAGTACCAAGGCATTATTATTTTTGAATCTAATAGTACTTCTTGAAGAATAGGAAGTAAAAGTAAATTGGCCCCTTTTGACCTTAGCGAATAGGCTAGACCAGGATTTTTTTTTGGCTCCCTTGCAAACTCAGGGTGTTTGTAGGTGTTTCTAGATAAGATTTATTTGCTGTTTTGACACGTGTATTTGTTGTTTTGGTCACATCAGTATTGTTTTGTATAGTGTCACATGCTTTTTTATCTATTGTTTTGTTTTTGTTGTTCTTGCTTTTTTCTGCTTCTTGAAATATATTAGTCTTTTCTTTTTTGAGCTCTTGGCTTACTTGTTCTTCTCAGTTAGAAGAGTTAGTTAATGGTTTCTTTTGTTTAGAGTTATTAGAACTCATATCTTTCTTGCTAGTACTTGTAGCGGAGTAAAGATTTTCTTTGTTGCTACTACTTACTTGCGAACTTTCAGAGAGCATAATTTTTTTGTTTTTTTTTATTTTCTAGACACCAAAGTTTATGTTTCTTTGGAACTAGGGCTAAAGCCCAAGTTCTGTTAAAAAAAATAATTTTAGTTTCTTTAGTATTAGATATTTTAAAAAAGTCTTTATTCTCAGGCCTAACTTTATGTGATCAGGAGAGAGTGCATGTAGATCTTATAATATACTAATTTTAAAAATAAACTATAATAATAAAATATGTAAAAACGATTTTATATAGTAGAAAATAGATAGAAAATATAGATTAATAAAAATTAGGAGGTAACAGTATCTAGCCTATCTTTTGCTACCTAGTAGAAAGCAGTTAAATGAGATCAACACAGAAATTACTAAATGGATTAAGAGCAACTCTAGGATACTGCCTTGTTACTCTACTTTTCAACTAAATATAGAGCAAGGTAGCTTAAATGCTCTAGTTCTGAACAATATATTCGACTCAAGACTTATCTCAATATAGTTAAAACTTCTCTCTAGAAACTGCTTCTAAGCTAATATCAAGAGAGATATTATAGCTTCTGAACTAAATAACAAAAGAGAAATCATGATAAAAGCAGCCTTAGCTGAAAATAATACCAAATTAAAAAGCTGGCTAGACAGATGGAGGCCCTACCTGAAGTTCTAGAAAAGAGTAAAAGGCCAAGTTAATGAGAATAAATTCTGGCCTTGGGCTCTAGTAGATATCAAAATTGGCAACCTTATAGCGAACAACTACTCAGTTAAAGAAACAACAAAATCTCTTCAAATGAAACTTACATACTCACTACTACCTCTTAATATAAGTAAGGAGATAGCACCAGAGAACCTCTATAACTAGATAAATCTAAAGCTTATCCAAAACAAAAAGAAAGATATCTTTTGGCAATTGCTATACAGAGCTCTTCTACTAGGATATCGTCTAAACTACATCTCAAATAATATTGATATTAACTACTCAGGTTGCCTATTTTCAACTAAACCTTGGTGTCTGGCGATCTTAGTGTAGTAGTTAGGTTGCCAGACCACCATGCAAGAGGTCTAGGGTTCAAATCCCACTGTATACAGAATTGAATAATTACCTAGACATCTGTATCCAACTTACAGTAAACTCTGCTCGTTTCTGGGGTTGTAACCCTGTAAATCAAGTTGCACTAATGCCATTCGGGGTATTGGTAGTGTGGCAGTAGTTAATAACAGGATGATATACGCATACGAATAAATCTGGATAGGAAATATTAGTGTGGCAGTTGTTAATCACAGGATGATAGACGCACACTGATCTATGGGCAGGGGACCTGCATGGTAGAAATTCCGAGTTAGGTGAAGTAGTATAGATTTCGACGGTCACACCAGTTAACGCCTGATCTAGTGAAGATCTCTGAGTACGAAGATATGAATCGAGTAGGTGCGAGTAAGTCCGTAACACTGGGCATTACGGCAACACGAACTTGGCTTGGCAGCTAACTAGATTGGGAGGATCTGCTCTGTGAAACATTCAGAAATACAAAGAAGTCTGATCCGGTGGATGGCTCATGGAAGAAACTGGGTTCATATGAACATTGAATAAGGGTATATGCAAGCTAGATTGGGATATAGCATAGTATAGTTGGGTACCACAGCACCCCATCGGTTAGGGAGTTGGTGAAGGGATACCTTGTGATAGGGTCTAGGCTCCGAACTATAAAGTTTGTGGACTAATGTCAGCTCGGGTGTCTTCCATGAGAAGTA